AATATCTGAAAATGTTTGTAAGTACTATGTAGGTACTTATTAAATTTCGACTTATGTTTTTTAGAATGTATATTATTTTATGTTATTCTCAGAATAGTTTGCATAATTTAGTCATATATTATTCTATTATACTAATACTTAATCCTCGAAGAGTTTTTGTAACCCGCTTCACTTTTTGAAATACGGAATAGAAACCTTTTACATTTGGTACTTTGTTAAGTCAAAGTTGGTATTTAAAAAAATGTTTGATCTAAAATTTATAAAGTTGTACTTACTATTCATTCTTTCTTTTATTATTTTATAAATATTTCTTATTGTACTTATTCTTATATAATACTTATATAATATAGTATTATAGATTTTCACTATTAAATTGTTATATTAAATGGTAGTTTTGCATTGAACTTAGAGAGATATTTGAGTCGTCTGAGATCATTTAATGATATAGAATTTTAAATTACCAAGGTCTTCACCCACGACAATCCAAGTAGTTAATGTATTTTAAATTGTGGGCGGCGATTTAACTCCTACTTGGAGTTACAATAATTGTTCAATTTCCGTCATTCGTTATTGGAGGAAAAGGAGCGCCTCCGTAAAATAAAATAGCATAATGTAATAGCTTCGCATGACTTCCTTAGCCTAAACGGACAATAACAGAAATAGAATTTAGAACAATACCGCATTAAATTAATAATTATGTGTGTATGTATACGTATCAAGCTTACTAACGACCAAAAAATTAAATTTGTATAAACTTTAAGATATTATATATAATATATATACGAATAAAATATTGAACAGCTTTTGCGAAATAGAATTGTTGTTATAAAAATGTTACTAACTTCGATGTATAGGTATAATATATAGCTTAGCATTTCTTGACCTTGATGTTTCGACTTCTTTTATGAATAATTTTAATTAGGTCGTCATTCATTAGTGTAGAGTTAATTATTAAAATGTATCTATTATATATTTATAATTGTCTAAAAAGATACAAAATCTAAGACTTCGCGCTCTCGAATACTTAAGTATTATTATATAGAAATTTTAATTTAACAAAATAAATTTTCTTTTTAGAACATTTATTTTGTTATAATTAAAATTTCTAATTTAATAGATCTTAAAATTCTAAAAGTCACATTTTTTTTAAAAATATAATAAACATTTATATTTTTTCAATAAAAGTATTTACTCACTGTTCGAAATTCACTGTTAGGGTGTTTAATTAATTACAAAATAAAATGCATATAGAATCATTATAGTTTTAATTATTTTTTAACTATTTACAAAATAGAAAATATAACTATATCTAAGTATATTGATTGGGAAGCAATAATTGGGTATAATATGTATATTTATATAAACGCGTTGACATATTGAAATAGATCGGTCATTGATAATAGATAAAATATTAATTTATATACTTATATTGTTCATTGATTTAAAAAGCAAATAAACGTTGGCATCACTATAATATTTATACAAAATGTAAGGCATATTATTTATAACCACCACTCACCAGCCAGAACAAAAAAAAATTATAATCGGTAATCTTTGTAATCGGCTAGTATACATATAAATAACATAATAATTAATATATATAAAACAAAATTTAAGTTATAATAATAGGCAATTTAAATTTTAACCGTTATTTTAACATAATTTAATAATTAAAATTATCAATGATTTTATAATAATGTATATTTATTCGATATAGTATGATATAATTATTCGTAATATTTTTTAAATTTAAATAATATCTTTTTTGAACTACACATATACAGATGTAAAATATTATATTATAGAATATAAATGATAATCTATATTAATTTATTATATTAACATGCTTCAAAATTGAAACATGACCTTGAACATCAGAATTGACCGTGGAAGCATTTTTCTATTTCAATAGAAATTAATAATGAATGTATACAAGACTAATTCAAATTGCATCTTATTTTTATCATATATGATATATATATATATATATATTTTATCATATATAATTATCAAAAGACCACGGTTCATCATAATTGCAGTTTTTATTTATGTAGTGTTGGCTTGGCTATTACAAAAAAAAAAAACCAGCCAAGCCAACACTATAGGTACTAATACAGGTAAAATAATATCTATCTAACAATGTATACATTGCAAGGATGGAAAATTTATTTTTCGAGTACTTAAACCTATAGGTAGGTACTTCCGTTAGTAGAAACTACAATCAGCTCATTACAGACATAGATAGTTATATGACGTATACATTTAGGCGTGGTTTAACGGTGTTGATGGAAGATTTTAATTTTGATAAATTATGCATAACAAACCAACACCGCGACTAGGTGAGCATAATTTATAATTATTTTATTTTTGTTGGTGTTAAAGATAATAAAATAAGTTTAGTACATATCATACGCAATTTCTTGTAAAGAATGATATTATTATTATTATTTTTATTATTACATTTTGAATGACCTTAGTGGCGTTGAAATTATTATAAACGGGTGATTGCTATTCTAACATATAACTAGTAATCACCCTCGTGGAACAAATACACATTATTATAAAAAAAATGCATGCGTGTAATATTATTTTGATTAAAAAAGACCTCTATTTCGATTTTATGTTTACTTAAAACTTGCAGGCCTGGAGATCCACCCCTATTTATTAGTTCGTTACTACTGAGTTGCGTGGAAATAAGCGTCGTTGTTAATATTACTGTCTACTTAAAATGTTTAATAATTTTAATAATTTTAATAATTTGATTTTTGTCTACTATATAACTTTACTTTATTAGACTATTTTTTTTTTATTTTGAATAAGTAATATCATGTACATTATAATAAAATTATACACAAGTCTATTAAAATGTTATGCAGAGCACATTACAATATATAAATTATATACTGTGGTTACTTATATATTTGATAAATAGCTTTAATTATTTAACATTGAATATCTACTCTCACACACAAAAAAAAAAATAATACAACAAATAAATAATATAAACCTACGTATATATTATGTTTTATGGTTCATTCATAAAATTACATGATAAAAAATAGAACGAATCTTCAGTACTACTTGACCTTGAAGTATATCAATATAAAAACTTCAAAAATGAGTTCCAGTTATATCAATTACATAGCACATTTGAATAACATCGTTATGTTGTATTAAATAAATTTATATAAATTTATATGTACACATGTTTAGACGTTTAAAGAATAAATTTGGATATTTCAGTGCACTGACTATAAAAGCAGTCTTGTGGGCAGCGATGTACACGAGGAATATTTTTTAATGTTTGATAAAAATTTCATACAATATTGATTAATAAAATGAGAATGTAATATTATTTGAGGTATGAAATCACTTTAATTTCTAAGTAAAAATAAAATTGTTTATATTAAGTATAAATATGTTAGGTATAAAATATTTGTTTCCTTTCAACTGTTTATTTATTATTTTATTTTAACAACTAATTTTTAAATGTCAGCCTATCATTTTGTGGTAAATTACCTTCCACAACATTTTGATACAGACATTTCATATCAGGTACATATCACATAATTTATATATATTACATACATATACTTATGTATCCAATACTAACGCTATCGAACAATTATAATATACTTATTTAAAGATTGAACTGTTGTTCAAACCGGTAAGGATACACACTTTAACATATATATAATCACTTGTCTTAAGATTTATGTGAATATAATCACTCTGCATACACATGCAATTGAATATTTGATTATTTTAATTTCAATTGTAGAAATAATTTACAAATAAGGAGATTGCTGATGATACATCTTGGAATTTTAAAAATATGTAAGATAATCTAATAAAAATAATTGAAATTAAAAATAAATATCATAACATAGAGAATAGAACAACAACACTCTATTTAATTTCGTACTACACACTTAGCATTTCGTATTATACGAAGTGTGTTGTACTGCACATAATTTTAGTCCCTGCTCTCCCCTATAATTACACAATTATTTTACTATTTGACACATTTCATTATGCATGTTTGAGTGATGAAAAATGTCAAGTCACAATTTTATGCATTTACGATTTGTGCACGAAATAACTATTACATCACCAGCCAGTTACGTAGGTGTAAGTAGGTATATGGTTTGACCGAAAAAGGTATACGATACAGGTTATTCGTCATTATTTCCAGGTAAAATAGCTGCTTATTACTTGATGCTTTTGTTATTCAATGTTGCATTCATCACTATATTATCTAAAATATTTATTCTTTTAATTAATTTATTCGCAAAAGTACTTTAGTATAATAATTGCATAGTTGCATTTTAACGCATTACACGTATCACGCATATATCTAATATACATGCATGTGTATTGACAAACTGCTAAAGTTTTAATTTTTAGTTTCTAATGGGTACCGATGTGAGTACGCCAAAAGGACAAAGAACAGCGATTTCGGTTGGAAACGTTGAATTCCATAAAGGTGTAAGCAGAATGAGTCACAAGTCAGATGGTAATTATTCAGAATCGAGAAAATCCGTCGTTTGCGTGGTTTGAAAAAGATAGCCGGTGGGAGCGAACACGTCGTGCTCGAACGCCAAAAGTGGTTTTTTTTTCATCCAAAATACGTTATCGGATTTTCTGTCCGTTAAAGGATGGAACGCCGAACAGGACAGCAGGAGGCGGCGGCGGACGTAGAGTCGTAAAGAATCGTAGCAACGGATGCGGTGGCGTGCGCACTGCGCGCAACGGCGGCGGCGGTGGTACATTAGCCGACGCCCAAAACGACGAATGGCACGCGATTAACGATTGTGTTATTCAAATTCAAAAAAGGAATGAAGGGTGACACGACGGGTAGGGGGGCAAGAAACCAACGGAAATAATCAGAAAAATCGTTATTTCACAACATTTGCGTTGGTACCACTGTAGTGACCGGCCAATCGGACAGCGGCAAGGGCGTCGATTGGAGCGGTTCCTGGTGAGTCGCCAACGCCGCAAAACCAACAAAACCAGTGTCGCAGCCATTTTATTTCTCTGTATTGTTTGAGTCTGTCGTTGGGCTTGAAGTCGTTCCGATTATCACGCTCTTTGTACACAGTTAATTTTCAAATTTTTATCGACAAATTTTCACTTCACCCGTTCCAATCATGAGGGAAATCGTCCATATCCAAGCCGGTCAATGCGGAAACCAGATCGGAGCTAAGGTAATTATTTTTTTCCTAAAAGCTTACCATTGCACCGGCTTGCATGAATTAGTCGCTGCTTAACAAATTTATGGTTTTCGATTTCATCGTGAAGTACTTTATGGTTTATAACTTACCCAGCTGTCCGTCCATTAAATTGTCGATAATTTTATTCTTCGCTAACAGAGTTACCGACCGTTATGCTAGCTTTGCAATCTCCAACGATTATCCCAACCCAACCGGCTCGAAAGCGTCCGAGATAAGCAGATTAACCGCCAAAATATTGTTGTAAACAAAACAAGTAACCACTAATGTGCGATATTTTTCATTATTCGTGTGAAAACTACACAATTTTAAATGCTGGGTTGTTTTATACTATTTTCAAAAGAAAACTTTAAAGTTGAATATAAAAGTTCTAATTGTTCATTAGAGTAAAACCGTTATACTTGAATTAATTATTTAAAATAGTCGTGTCTTAACGGTTATTTTTACCAACGTTGACGAAGGTATTTTTATCCAATTTCCCTATAAATGTTTATTTTGAGTATCATCATTTTTTAAAAATTTATGTTTATTCATTCATCTTACATTCTTGTATGTTGAAGGTTATGATTTTATAAGTACTAAACTAAATTGTAATGAAACATTTTCACATTGAAGGTTCATTATTTTTGGTTTAACTTAAATCTGAATCATATGCATCATTAGTCAACCGTAACATAATTATTATGTTAGTACTTGAATTGTAATAAAAGATTTTTCATTTTGATCACAATTAGATGATATTTAAACATTTTGATTTTTTTTGAAGTACTTCTAACGATTCAACAATTATTTATAGATACATTTTTTAATGGTTTAATAATTAGGTGTCCAATTAAATTGAATTAAATATAATTTAAGACCTATTTAGGATCTTAATGTTCTTTAAATATTTATTACATTTATTGTGAGATTACCTACTGTTGGACATTATTTATATGAATAAGAACAGCATTTTAATTATTATATTTAAGTTCAATTATTTGATTATCAACAATTTTTTTAAAATTCTAGTTTTGGGAAATCATTTCTGATGAACATGGCATCGACCCAACTGGTGCGTACCACGGAGACTCAGATCTCCAGTTGGAACGGATCAATGTATACTACAATGAAGCCTCAGGTAATTATTAAATTGAACTAAAGTAAATTTTTACTTATTCACTCTTACATTTCAAAGTAAAATGTAAAAATATATATAATTTTTTTAGGTGGAAAGTATGTACCCCGTGCTATTTTGGTTGACTTGGAACCTGGTACCATGGACTCTGTTAGATCTGGTCCTTTTGGACAGATTTTCAGACCTGACAACTTTGTTTTTGGACAGTCTGGAGCTGGAAACAATTGGGCTAAAGGTCATTACACAGAGGGTGCTGAACTCGTAGACTCCGTCTTAGATGTTGTTAGGTGTGTACTATTTATATAAATTATATTAATTTTTGATTAATCACTAATTCAATTATTGGTTCTTTTTATAAATTCCAATTTTATAATTTTTACATAAGTTCTATATAAGTATATAATTTAATTTTAATATCTACATTGTTCCTTAATTTTATTAAAAACTTTTTAAACTCTCATACTCTTAATCTAGATACCCTATTAAAACTTAATGATTTGTTATTAAATTTTATTAATGATTCATATTTTTTGCAGGAAAGAGGCTGAGAGTTGTGATTGCCTTCAAGGTTTTCAATTGACACATTCTTTGGGAGGTGGAACTGGTTCTGGTATGGGAACCTTGTTGATCTCCAAAATCAGAGAAGAATATCCTGATAGAATAATGAACACATATTCCGTTGTACCTTCTCCCAAAGTTTCAGACACTGTTGTAGAACCCTACAATGCCACCCTCTCAGTTCACCAATTGGTTGAAAATACTGATGAAACCTATTGTATAGATAACGAAGCTTTATATGATATTTGCTTCCGTACACTAAAACTCACAACACCAACATACGGTGACTTAAACCACTTGGTATCTTTGACCATGTCTGGTGTAACCACTTGTCTCAGGTTCCCTGGTCAATTGAATGCTGATCTCCGTAAACTCGCTGTCAACATGGTTCCTTTCCCCAGGTTACATTTCTTTATGCCTGGTTTTGCCCCTCTTACATCCCGTGGAAGCCAACAATATAGAGCTTTGACCGTACCTGAACTTACCCAACAAATGTTTGATGCCAAAAATATGATGGCTGCATGCGACCCACGACATGGACGTTATCTTACAGTAGCAGCTGTTTTCCGTGGACGTATGTCTATGAAGGAAGTTGATGAACAAATGTTGAACATCCAAAACAAGAATTCGAGCTACTTCGTTGAATGGATCCCTAACAATGTGAAAACTGCAGTTTGTGATATCCCACCAAGAGGTTTGAAAATGTCTGCCACTTTCATTGGTAATTCTACAGCCATACAAGAATTATTCAAGAGGATCAGCGAACAGTTCACTGCTATGTTCAGACGTAAGGCTTTCTTACATTGGTACACTGGTGAAGGTATGGATGAGATGGAATTCACTGAAGCTGAATCTAACATGAACGATTTAGTGTCTGAATATCAGCAATACCAAGAAGCTACTGCTGATGAGGAAGCTGAATTTGACGAAGAACAAGAACAAGAAGTTGATGAAAACTAGACTTATTTTTTAAAAAAATAGCTTTATAATTTAATTTTTGTTACTTTTTATTTAAAACAAAAATTCTGTATATTAATCCTTCAATTTTTTTTATACTTAATGCTTATTCATTCCATTGTGATACATTTCCCTTGTACTAAAAAACACTGCTTTTTTATTTTAAATTATTTTAATTGAACAATATAGCTTTATAAGATTAAACATTGAAATTATTCTTTCAGAGCACATGAAAACTTTGTATTTAATTTATTGATATAATTTTATTCCTAATTCTTATGTTTTTAGTGGATTTCAATTGATAATGAGATTTATGTTTTTCCTGTAATGCATTGAATTTTTTAATGCTTCTTAACATGAATACTTTACTTTATTGTTAACTTGAAAAACATAATTTTTGATAAAATTTGGTTATTTTATAAATCTTATGAAGTATTGATGTGTTGTATTGAGAGAATTTTGTTATTTAAGGTTTTTTAATAACAATAACCTCAAACAAAAAGGAAACTACAATTTAATAATTACCTTGAAAAGTATTAGAAATGTCTTATTTATAATCATATAGTGTAGAAATTATATTAGTAATTATTAAGTATATAGTATGTTAATTTGTCAATTACTAACAATTTCTGTTTCATCTTTTAATATAAATAAGAGTTAGGAACCATTAAATATTTCAATGTACATGTGCATTATAATATTAATCTATATGGATAATCTTAATTATTGCTTATTAAATGCATGATTTATTGACACTCATTACCTACTCTTGTAAATAAAAACACATTTCAAGTGCTTATTACATATTTTACATAAACATCAAAAAATATGCTTTGGCTATTGAGTTATAACTAAGGCTATTACTATATATATTGTATTAGTCAACAACTAATACTCTTCAAAATATTTGTCAGTATAAAATTGTAATTTACCTATGTAAAGCACAACCAATGTGGAAGTAGGTAACTAACAATTGAGCCTAGAGATCCAGTTATGTAATAGAAGTTTTTACAATAATACCGCCATATCAGTTACGATAATAAAGCTTTATTATAAAAATAGTAGTTCTGTTACAATAAAATATTAACGGTTATAAATATAATATTCAATTGAACTTTTGTCATAGTTCTTTAAATTTATATGAAAAAATATTTGTAGTTTGCTAATCCAAAATTGCATTATCAGTAGATTCTAGGTTCCCTTTAATTACACTTGTTCGGCTAAGATACCTATACATAGTAGGTATTTGTTAGTGGCGGCTCGTGCTATTGTGCACATGAATCACAAAAAAAAAAAAGAAAAATTATATAAAAATTATTAGATTAGATTCCTGTAGTAAATTATAATTGGTTATTATGAACATAGTCTATAATTAACAAAAATATTTATTAAAAATAAAATGTTACAGATTTTTATGTTGAGAAGTGTGTTAATTAGCGGAACACATTCGTTGTGATCCGGGCGGCCGAACGAAAAATAGTTACATGAGTAGGCACGTCGGTTGGAGTACATAGTCGTTTGGAGCACAAACAATGTGCACCGGATTTATTAGTATCGATCTGTAAATCACAAGGATTTCAGTTTATGTATTATACATTAGTTACTTTTTTCTAAATCATTTTTATTTTACGGTGTCGAAGAGCTTAAAAAAAAAGCAATGTTAATAAGTACGATTTATGTACTTATATCCAAAACAAAATTAATATTATTTATCTGCCTACATAAGTATCTCACAAATTATTTGTACACCACCTTAAGTGAACCTCACGAACCATAACAGTGGATTACCATACAGTGGTGGTACTAATTGGGGGGGGATAGGTGGATCGCCCCTTCTTGGGATTTAGTTTTTTTAAATTTAGAATATCGTCGGCCCAACAATACCTATTTGCAAATTTTTATATTTATTATAGGATAAATTTTATAAGTCAATACATTTATATCTTTTTTTTTAATAAATGTTAAACTGTATTAATATTAATATATAAACATATATCAATTTTATGGGTTAGAAATTAATTAACTTTTTTTTGCCCCTCTCTTGAACATCACGTATTATCGCCACTGTAACCATATGTAATAAAATAGCCAAATATTGAAAAGAATATTAAATTTTTATTACTCGTGGAAAATGACACATCAACAGCAGTAACAACGCATGTACCAATCATTAATTTAATTATGTAGGTAATAAGACGACTAAGTTACATTAAGTTTGGTACAATATTAGTATAATCGTCCATTAGAATTCATTGAAAAATGATTTTCTTCCGAATATATCCATACCGGTTACTTCTAGAAATAACAGCTGCCATATGTAAAATTACTTCCAACGCTTGTTGATGATCATTATTCATAATCACGAAATAAGAATTAAGGTACGTACTTAATACACCTTAATTTGAACTTATTAGTTACTGAGAATCGACAGATATTTAAGAATTTGTGTTCGAAATTATTCCCATTTCCCAATTTGATAACGAATGATAACAGTACGTGACTACAAATCACAGCAGTAGTCTGTAATCTGTGGTAGCGTGTTTTCAAATTTCGCCGACCGGAGCGGTTGCGCTGGCTTGTCCGTGTCTTGAATTTTTTCATGTACGTGTGTGAGTGAGCCAACCCGACGCAAACGATATAACCGTTCAGCAGCCATTTTATTTCTCTGTATCGTTCGAGACGGTCGTCGCGCTCATAACTGAGCAGTTTTCTCGAGTTCATACTCTTGTTCAGTCGTTTGCACGTTTATTGATTTTTAAATTTTTTATTTTTTAAAGTTTTCACATAACTTATTTTAATCATGAGGGAAATCGTACACGTACAAGCCGGTCAGTGCGGAAACCAAATTGGAGCCAAGGTAATATACCATTATCAATGTACTTTTCCGCCGTCGTGTTCCGTTACTACACTGGCCGTTGTCGCTCAACATGGCGGCGCACGGGAACCGATCGCCGTTCGACGTCTTTATCGTTTTCAATTTTCGTCTTGAATTTCTTAATAGTCTACGCGGTTTTCCGTCCGTTACGTTTTCAAGTGTTTTTTCAACGCCGCTGGTGGTGGTGCCATTCGGTAAGCGATTTTCATCGATAAGCTTCCAACCGGTTCGTTAACGTCCCAAAATTAACCGCCAAAACGGTGCCGCAGTAAACAAAGGGCGTTGGCTGGGTCACGTCCCGCGTGAGAATTTTTTACCGTTTGCATGAAGACTACACGATAAGAATTGTTGGTTTTTTTTGACACTTCGTTTTGATAACTCTCTTATGAGAACACTTGGGAATGCTTTGGTTATATATATCAACTCGAAAAAAAACCGTTATATACTTGTTTACATTAATTATGTTGAAATGTCGAGTCTAACGGTTATTTCGGTCAGCGTTAGTGCTTGGTATTTTCATTCAGTTGTTCGATTCGAAGTCTTATTTGATTTTTTTATTTAATTATGTTACTTTTTTGACAGAATTTTATAAAAATTTTCACCTTCTACTTTATATGAGGGCTATGATTTTATAAGTAGCTAAATTTTTAAGCGTTTTGTGCTTTGAGAACGTTCAATTTTTGAATAATTAATAATATTCTACACTATTTGTAATTTTATTAACACATTTAGTTTAAAGAATTTTATTTTTAAAATTATAGTTTTGGGAAATTATTTCTGATGAACACGGTATTGACCCAACTGGTGCGTACCATGGAGACTCTGATCTTCAGCTGGAACGTATTAATGTATACTACAATGAAGCCTCAGGTATTTATAAAAACAGTATAAAATTATTTATTTATTTTTTTTTTTTTGATCTTATAAAATTTTATTTTTTAAAGCGGAAAATAAGTAATTATTTAATTACTTGTTTTTTTCATTTATATATGATTTTCTTGTTCTATTTTAAACCTATTAAACAGTGTATAAATTGTATGTGTTTTGTAAGAAAGTAAAAGTTTAATGATAATATAATAAACTTAAAGAAAGAGCAAATTATACTAACATCTAAGAATATAATTTTATTATTGGATTTTGTGTTTTGTTAATTAATTTAAATTACAAAGGATTTTTGATGAAAAACTATTTTTTAGTTATTTGCTTTTATTATGAGAGAAATAAGTAATATTATTAAGGAGTTAATGTTTTGTTTTTTAAGACATAAAGAATATTAATTATTAAAGTTTCAAAAGGGTTTATTTTTCACATAACTAATTGTATGTAGGTTGTTAAATATTTTAGTGATTTACTAGAAAGACATTTTGATGTACTAATTTATTCTAAGATGACTGAAGGATTTTGGTTAATTATGTAATATTAGGATAAATATATAGTTTGTCTAAATTTAGATAAATATTTTCTTTGAGACTTAATTTTTCAAGTTTGAATTGCTGCTAAAGTAGGTCTCTAGGCTTTTGGTCGTAAAAATTTTGGAAAAATAAACATCTTTTAGGTACTAATTGATTGGATAGTTCTTTTAGCTAAAACACTTATTACCGAGTTTAGCAGTCTTTGCATTATACAAACTTGGTTTATTTTTATGTTAAGATTTTTTTAGAACATAGTTTTGAAAGTTCTGAATTTAGGTCATTTTTATTAAGTATGCCATTGTAATTGGTAAGTGGTATATCAACATTTTTAAAAACATTATTATTTAATGAATGCTCAAGGTCAACAAAATTAAAGACCATAGAGTTAATAATTGCATTAACTGGAGAAACTTAGATAATTTATAATAACTTTGGTTTTGTGGTACATAAAATTAGTGGCAGATAAGGAACTGTGATAGTAGTGACACCTTGATAAAAGGATGATTGATTAAGAATTTTGTGATGAATGATAGTATTTTTGAGTGTGTTCCAGTGTGGATTAAGTTCTTTATAAAATTAATTGTAATATTTTTTATATCTTATAAAATAAATAAGAGCCATTAAAAACTATTATATAAGAAAAAAAAAACCTAAAAGGAATTGAGAAAAATATTCAAATTATTAAAAATTATTTTTTTAGGTGGAAAGTATGTACCCCGTGCTATTTTGGTTGATTTGGAACCTGGTACCATGGACTCTGTTAGATCTGGACCTTTTGGACAGATTTTCAGACCTGACAACTTTGTTTTTGGACAGTCTGGAGCTGGAAACAATTGGGCTAAAGGTCATTACACAGAGGGTGCTGAACTCGTAGACTCTGTATTAGATGTTGTCCGGTATGTATTTTTTGTATTTGATTGATTTTATGATCTTAATTCTTTATTTATTCAATAATAAATAAAATATATACGTACAATTTAAATTAATTCAATGGAAAAAACTTTTTTCCATTGATATTTAAATCAGATGTACTCCTGCTTCATATTTATTTTTTAAATTGTATCCGTTAAATTTCTAAATAATACTTATATGTCTCAATTAACATATTTAAATTCTTTTAACTATTCTTTACATTGATAAATACTGTGAATGTAGTTAATAATATAATACTTTTTCAGAAAAGAGGCTGAAGGCTGCGATTGCCTTCAAGGTTTCCAATTGACACATTCTTTGGGAGGTGGAACTGGTTCTGGTATGGGAACTTTGTTGATCTCCAAAATCAGAGAAGAATATCCTGATAGAATAATGAACACATACTCTGTTGTGCCTTCTCCCAAAGTTTCAGACACTGTTGTAGAACCCTACAATGCCACCCTCTCAATTCACCAATTGGTTGAAAATACTGATGAAACCTATTGTATAGATAACGAAGCTTTATATGATATTTGCTTCCGTACACTGAAACTCACAACACCAACATACGGTGACTTAAACCACTTGGTATCTTTGACCATGTCTGGTGTAACCACTTGTCTCAGGTTCCCTGGTCAATTGAATGCTGATCTCCGTAAACTCGCTGTCAACATGGTTCCTTTCCCCAGGTTACATTTCTTTATGACTGGTTTTGCCCCTCTTACATCCCGTGGAAGCCAACAATACAGAGCTTTGTCTGTACCTGAACTTACTCAACAAATGTTTGATGCCAAAAATATGATGGCTGCATGCGACCCACGACATGGACGTTATCTTACCGTAGCAGCTGTATTCCGTGGACGTATGTCTATGAGAGAAGTTGATGAACAAATGTTGAACATCCAAAACAAGAACTCGAGCTACTTTGTTGAATGGATCCCTAACAATGTGAAAACTGCAGTCTGTGATATTCCACCAAGAGGTTTGAAAATGTCTGCCACTTTCATTGGTAATTCTACAGCTATCCAAGAATTATTCAAGAGGATAGGCGAACAGTTCACTGCTATGTTCAGACGTAAGGCTTTCTTACATTGGTACACTGGTGAAGGTATGGATGAGATGGAATTCACTGAAGCTGAATCTAACATGAACGATTTAGTATCTGAATATCAACAGTACCAAGAAGCTACTGCTGATGAGGAAAATGAATTTGACGAAGAACAAGAACAAGAAGTTGATGAAAATTAGACTTATTTTAAAAATGTAGCTTTAAAACTCAATTTTTGTTATTTTTTATCTAATACATAAATTCTGTATCCATAATTTTTTAAAAATATTTTATGCTTATTCATTCCATAATGAATAGAGATACTTGCCCCAATACTAAAAAATTACTGCTTTTTTATTTTGAATTATAATAATTGAATAATATAGCTTTATGAGATAAAAAATTTTAATTATTCTTTCTATGTATATGTAAATTATTTGTACTTATATGCATTGGTATATATTTAATCCTCATTCTAATTTTCTATGACTTATTTAATTGATATTGTTTTAATTTTTTTATATTTTTTCATTATTTTTATTATAGCCTGGTCTTTAAATGTAGATTAATTATAACCAAAAAAAAAAAATTAAAAATTTCATTAAGTGGCAATTTTTTAATTAATTTCTTAACTGTCAGGTATTGAAACTGAAGTAATTATGTTATTTGTTTTTATCTAATTTCTTACCGACTCAAATGTTTATTTGGGGAACTTGTTATATTTCTGATGCACCTGTACAAAAGTTTTTATATTCAAATAGTGTTTTTAATTTGTTGTTCATAAGACTTATCTATGATGTGACAATAAGGTTTACAAGTACAATAATTTATATTATAAAACGTCGAATATTTACAAGTGACAAATTTAGAAATACAACAATTTTTAAGTTGTAACAATAATCAAATTGGTGATCAAAATCGATTAAAACTTTGTATTACCTTGCACAAAAGAAAAATGATATTGGTCAATTCCAGCCTAGGTCATGTAGGTAATTTAAATTGTTTGATTATAATTTTTATGACTACAGATTGACATGGTACATGGATTTTTAAATTATAAAATTTCAAGTAAGTCTGTGTTGACATAGTTTTACATTTTTTTTATACGCATTGTACTCCCAAGTAAAATATAAATTAATGTTCTCATTCTTTTCGTAGCAAGTCATTTTATGATTTTGGAACCTTTTATCTTCTGGTGGTGGGGGAGTTTGTGATTTTGGAATTTCTTAATAAATACGCCACAGGCTATATCATAAGATAAC